AGTTGGTCATGTGGGATCCACTCCCTTAACTAGCTTTTAAAGTGTAGCCCTAAATTAGGCTGAATATTTCAGGGTGAAAATAATAACTAGTTAAGGTGGTATACATAAAAATGTACATATAAAAAGTTATAAAATTGACTTAATGGGTCATAATCTGTTTTTTAAAAAAAACAGAAAACATGATCTATAGACACAGTAGAATAAGTATTGGTTTAAGTACTTTAATTTACATTTACTACATATTATTCAGTTGAAATGACAATGATATATATTTTTTTTTGGGGAGATATTTGTTATAGGGTATGAGTGCTTGCGGGAGAGACAGAGAAACAGAAAGCAAGAAATCACCCCCTGGGGTGACAGTCATGCTGCACTCCTTTTTTCTCTACTCTCCTCTTGGGATTCTGGGCAGGGATGCGCACGTGCCTAGTGTGAGCTTCAAGCCACTGGGTCTGGGACTCAAACTGCAGTTTTTTCGTTATTTGGTAGTCCCGACAGTAATAATTCTTTTTTTTTTTTTTTTTAAGAATTGTTTATTTAATTGTATTTATTGTTATTTTTATTTATTTATTTTGGAGAGGTTTTTGCTATAGGGTGCTTGTGCTTGCCAGAAAGACAGAGACAAACAGAGAGACATAAAGCAAGAAATCACCCTCCAGGGGGGATGGCCACACCGCAATCCCTTCTCCTACATCATCTTCTTGGGATCTTAAGCACACGCATGCGGCCAGTTTGAGTTTAAGCCACCAGGTCCAGGACTCGAACCATGGTCAACTACATGGGAGTTCAGCGACATAGCCGTTACATCGTCTGCTGGTCCCATTATTGTTATTATTTTTAAATTCTATCAGAGAGAGACAGAGGGCAGGAAAGTGAGAAAGCAAACCACCAGGACCAGCAATTGAATTGTGGTTGGCCAAGCGGGAGTCCAGTCCAGCGCCTTAACCACCACTTCACCTGTCAGCCCCTACTATGGTAATTCTCCTATGGTAATGGATAACAATGAGGGTTTGAATGTCTTTCTTTGATTTAGGGGAACTGGAAAATAGAATCACTTTTTAAGACTACATAATAGCTCCCATACAATTTTTTCAACTTAATTTCTAGACTGCTGAGGGATTCTAGTTTCTTTTCTCTTAAAGAACAATTTAATTTATCCATCATCATTACCACTTTTTAATTTGACCAGAGAGAGAAAGGGAAAATGAAAAAGCAAGCTGCCAGGTCTGGTACTTGAACTGAGGTTGTCCAGTGTCCCAACCACCATGCAACCTTCTGGTCCTGGGATCCTCTTTCATTATCTCTTATCTGGACCCCAAATTTAAGTTCAGTAGTCTCCTGCCAGGCCGAGAAATCAACCACCAATGAACGTGGTGGCTGCAGATTCTGCTATAGAAACTGTACCAAATAACTCTTCTGAGATATGACAGGTGTCATGATTGTTACATTATGCAATGACAATACAACAATCTGTATGAAAATATTAAGAGTTGTAACCCATACTTACTTCACCATCTTTGGCAAGCTTTCTACCACACCTCATGCTATTTCCCTCTAGTTCTTCTTTATTGATTTCTTGTGGCCTAAAAACATACACAAGAGATAAATTCATAGAAAACAGGCAACTACTAATCGGAAAAGAACTGTGAGTTAAAGAGAACAGAAAATCTTGCTACTAAAAATGAATTTTTGGGTTGCAGATAAAAATAAGAATGTACTGATTGAATCTAGTCCACTATCTTTGCTAAATGAAAAAGATTTAAAATCTTCTATGATTTACTTACCTCCCTGACTTCTGGATTACTTTAATTAGGGTTCAGTGAAAAGAAAAAAACAAACAAACAAACAAACAAACAAAGCAAACCAAGACGTGTCCCTGGTATTCAAGAGCTCAAGCTAGTAGGGGACTAAATATAATTAACTGCGGTGATGAGGAAAGAGTTGTGATGTAAGAACATGAAGAGGGCAGGACCCACTGCCTGGAGCGGGAAGGGAGATCATTACAGAGTAAATGTCAACTGCACCTGAGAGAGAGCTTGTTGGGATGGAGGTAGGAGGTGAATTCTGTGCATGGGGAAGTGTATTGCAGGAACAAGGAGCAACTGATAAAAAGGGAGCGGCAGGTAATAGAATACCAAATATACAAAAATATTCGTATAGCTGGAGCATAAGAACATAAGAGATGAAGCTAGGGAACCAGCAGTTAGTGTAATGGCTATGTCGCTGGACTCCCACGTAGTCGACCGCGGTTCGTGTCCTGGACCCGGTGGCTTAAAACTCACGCCGGTCGCATGTGCGTGCGTGCCCAAGATCCCGAGAGGAGAATGGAGGAGAAGGGATTGCGGCGTGACCATCCCCCCGGGGGGTGATTTCTCGCTTTCTGTCTCTATGTCTCTCTCTGTCTGTCTGGCGAGCGCATGCGCCCTACAGTGAAAATCTCTCCAAAA